AGTAGAGGAAATTGTGAAAGTTGATGTTAGTGATTATAAATAGTAAAGTGCAGTATAATTGAATTGTGAATTACTGAGAAAATAAAGGACATTAGATTAATTCTTTATAAAGAAAGAAACTGCAAATTAAGTTGGCGAGTTTTTATTTAACAATCCAGAGATCGTACCCGAAGGATCTAGAAAATAATCGAGGTTGAGGTCGTAACAATATTCTCGTTTTACCTTTTGCTTTATTTACGTTTTACAGCTGATTAACGTTGTTCCTCTCCTTCTATTCGCAGGACTGCCATTTTTCTTTATCTAATATTAGATTAACATTTACATACAGCAGGTCGAGAAATTAAAACGAATTTATCATATCGTCAAAATTAAGTGCCGAATTCGTGATTCTCAAATTAACAGTCACTCGAAAAAATGTCACTAAACCACATGAGAGAAAACATTAAAATATTAACTTTATTTAAAACCAAACACTATTTCTACATTGAAAATTAAATAACCAGAATTTATTAAAGAAGTTATAATAATCTAGCATATTAAGCTTGTTTTTGATTAAATGTTATGATTCAAAGATTTGTTTGTCGGATTTCCAAATGCTTGAAACCAAAAGCTTTCACCTCTCCTTTGCTTTCAAATAAAAATATGATCCAGCGAAATGGAGCCGTGTGAACGAGGTAATTCGCTCTGGTAATTGAGAGGAAGAACAATGTAATTCACGATGTCGATGTGATGAAAAAGCCGTAGTAGCCTTAATATGCATATTTTATCGGTTTCATTATTAGGGCTATATATAACAAATCGATGCATCTCTAGCTGAAACATTCAAAACAATAAAATAAATGATAGAAGTGTATTCAGAAAAACTAATATATATTAATTCTCAGCGAAAGTGTTATGGAACAATCTAATATTTACACTAATGACCAATTAAATACCGAAATGGACGAAATGGACGAACTGTCCGCACAGGAAAATGACAATTTTGGCGTCCAACTGAATGAACCAAAAGCTGTAAAAGTGATTAAAATCCAGCCTTCAGGTATATTCCAATGGGTGTTAATGAATTTGCTGTAAATTCTCATATGACGATTTCTATTTAAGTCTTGGCAGAATACATGTTGTGGCAAAATAATTACGAGCGTTTTTTGTAAATGATAGTTCAGTACTTAAATTTTTTAGGTATCCCATCTCTTCTCAAGCAAATTTTGAACAACCAAAAGCAGATTATGTCCAATCAAGAAAAGATGAATGTTCGTCTTCAGAATTTAGAAAAGGCAACCAAAGAAAGTGTAATTATATATTTATATACATAAGCAAATTCTGTTTCACATTTATTCTTATTTATTGTAGGCGCGTGAAAGGGCAAATCTTATGGTGCAAAATCAGTCTATACATGAGTGTAAAGTTTTGACCAAGAAGATATTCAGCTCGATTAGGCGTATAACAGGTGAATTAGAGAATGAAATTCATTCGAAGATATCAGAAACATTACCCTTAACGTGTTTAGACGCCGTTGAAGAGGTTGAAGAAAAATTAAATAATAAGGAATATCTAAGCACAATGGTAAATCAAAACTATTTTGTGGGAAAGATCTATATTCTTAATGTAATAATTTTGCAGAAAGCTCACTTGTTTCAAATTAAAGGAGCTACAGGCACGATAGAAGATGTTTTTCGTAGAGTAATGTCTGATGATTTAATTGACCTTTTTAATTGGGATGGAAGAGCGGAAAAGAGAGCTTTAAACTCGCTAAAACTCATCAGTGATGTCTTATACGGTAAAACAAAAAAATTAGTATAGTTCTGGAATAATGATAATGATAATGTTAAATATTTTTTTCTTTTCAGACGTTTTTTTTATAGAGGGTCGATACAATTATGAGATGAAATTGAAAAAAGCTATCAAAATGAGTCACAAGAGATCTAAACAAAAAGCTTATCTAAAGCGGATGCATAATGACTAACTAATTATAAAAATTATTTAAATATAATTATTTTATTTAAATTTTCTTGGGTGTGTTTCTTGCATGAAATATAGAGATCATAAAAATCCATCATCTACTGTTGGAAAAACATCAAGATCCACAGTAAAATTGAAGAAGAGATTAAAATTTCGTCCAACAATTCCCTTCTACCGAGTTGCTTATGAATTCTTTCGGAGAACCGAAGCGCAAGTCGAGTAGAAATTCGCCTGTTCTGATTTTCCTGTTGTTGTGATTGCAGCTTTTCGACTTCTAACCTTCTTTGTGTTTGTTGACGGACGTTCTTTGCTACGAAGAGGTGGGCGTAGCTTGATAGTCCTTTGCCGGATAAAAATCTGGGCCGTTCCGGTATAAAGACCCGACTGTCGCGGGAACTATTGGATTTTAGTCGCCTCTTACGACAGGCATGCCTTATCGCGGGTAAATCCTTGAATTCCTAACCGGCAGGGGGCTCCCCAACGCACTTCCTGGAAATCGTGTTCATTAATTCGTTTGTAGTTGTCGTTATCAAGAGGGGGGTATCTCATCCGAGGTGTTATAAACTTTTTCATTGGATTTGGTTTCTACGTGGCGGGTCGGAAACCCAGCGAAAAACGTGGCTAAGAAAGTAGGTTTAAAGTTTGTACATATTTATATAGCGAGCGGCTTGCTTCAAGATTGACGTCCGCTCGCAGTAAGTGCTGCGATTAGATTTTAGCAGACTTTTAAACCGAATAAGTGGGAGTGGCTTCACGGAAGCTTCCTCTTTTCTAGCCGTACCCAATTCACGATTCGAGAATGCGCGACGCGGAGTAAAGAATATACACAAAAAGCGGGATACATTTCCGAACCCAAAATCCATGGTTGTGGAAACTGTCACGTATGCTCCGACACGCAAGACAGTGGCCCTTCTGAGTAGAAGTAGATCCTGGAAACACAAATACCTTAAGGAGAAAACACCAGTCTCCCCGCAGCATGACTCCCACTAACTCACCACCTCAGTAAGATGAAACTCTTGCTCTGGCTGGTGTCACTTTCAGACGTGCTCTGGCCTGCGCACCACAAGTGAGTGGAGCGATGCGTACGTTGCCCCATCCTGTAGAAGTCTACTCCCGACTGTTTCGACAAACATACCGCCAACCAACACCAACGTGCGGGATTAACCTCAGCGGGCATTACAGCAGCAACACACTCACCCCCCGAATCACGAACGTTCCCCCGAGACAGACCCTACTCCAACAATTTGGTTGCAACGGAGTCCAGGGAAAGATCGACGAGATAGTCTACTACATGAGCAGGGAGCACTTGTCAATTGCTACGATCCAGGAAACGAAGTTGACCGCCCGCTCAGATCTTCTGAGCCGGATATAACATAATCCGCAAGGATCGTGAGCGAGACATTGGTGGGGGCATAGCGTTCATCCTGCACAACAATGTGCAGTATCCTCTTATCGACGACGACATCGACAGCAAGGATACTACCCTAGAATGTCAGGGCATAGATATCCGGTCAGGCGATACCGAGCTCGAGATATTTAATATATACCTTCCTCCTGTTTACAAGTTGCCCTGTTGGATACAGCACGGATATACATAGATGCGCTACTCAGAGGTGAAAACCGTTTGGTTTTGGGCGACTTTAAGCCGCATCACGGTCTTTGGCATTCTAGCCTGTCAAATGACAGTAGAGGATTGAAAGCTAGCAGACAGATAGACGTTTCAAGATTCTGCATAATGAACGGTAACACCCCAACCAGAATTGTGGGTAATTGCCAAAGCTCGCTAGATATAACAATTGCGAGTGCTAGTCTGGTAAACAGTATAGCCTGGCGACCTGTTATCCAAACAAATCTCGATTGACAGGCCCTCCGACGTCGCTTCCGAGGGTCACCTTCATTTGTCAACTTTAAAAAAGCTAGCTGGTCCGGCATCCCGGAATTCACCGAGAGCGCTTTCAATGCTCTCCCCACTACAGCAAATGTCACTTTTGATGAACGTTTCTTCGGCAGGGTCGTCGAGACTGCTGCGGCCCACTCCATCCCGGCAGGGCGAATGGCGGAAATCCGACCCAATTTTCACACAGAAGCGGCGGCTTCAGCATCTAGGCGCGACACCCTTCCCGGGAGTCTCCTAATCAGGGATTTAAACGAGGAGAATCGCAGAGTAGTAAACAACTATAAGTTGAAAAAGTGGGAGGAGTGGGCAACCAAGCTCGGCTACAGTCAAATCGTTGTCTAACCCGACGAGACGCGACGAGCGAGTGAAAACTTCATTCGTTGATCGCGGCTCATCGGGCCCGAAGAGATGTGCGAAATACTTTAGTCGACTTTTTACACTGCTTCCGTCCGTAGACAAAACGAAGCGACAAGTAACCCGCCGCTTGCTAAAACTACCAAACATCAGCGAGGCGGTTTATTTCTGCAAGGAAGATGTTCAAGGGGTCATCAAGAAGGCGAAAGCCTCCAAATCTATCGGCCCCGATTGAATAAGCATGCTGATGTTAAAACCAGCGGGAGTGGAATTTCTCACCAAGGTCTTCAACTTGTCTTTGACCATCCTAATGATACCTGACGTGTGGAAAACGGGTTGGGTGGTCCCGCTGTTCAAACCTGAGAAACCAGCCTACAAAGGAGAGCCTTATTGGCCGATAACTCTTATTGATACTTAGTTAGGACAATGTCTCCTCGGAGTGTTACACTGCCCAAGCGGAAAGCTTTAAGAAGAAGAAAAAGAAAGGTATGAGCGAGAGTGGTGTTATCAACCTATCGTCAAGTCCATGGAGTTATCTCGTAGTACTTGGGAAAAAGGAAGATGGTCAGCTGCGTGTTGACTATCGAAAATTAAATGATATGACAAAGAAAGATAGCTATCCGTTACCAAGGATTGATGATTCTCTAGATTCGTTGACTGGCACGGAATGGTCTATAATACTCAACCTTAACAGCAGTTATTGGCAAGTGGAATTAAGTGAGGAAGATAGAGAGAAGGCAGCCGTCAGTACTGGTATCGGTCTATGGATTATGCAACGCTCCTGCCACATTTGAAAGAATAATGGACCATGTGCTCAAGGAATTACATTGGAAAACATGTTTAGTGTATCTAGATGGCATCATCGTATATGGAATTTAAAGAACAACTGAACAATTTCGAAGAAGTTTTCAGAGAAAAGCTGGTGCTGGTCTCAAAATTGGCCCTAGGATGTGCTCAATCTTTGAAAAGTAAATTAATTACTTATCTTATCATATAACGACAAAGAGAGTCTGCCAGGGACAGCTAGCTCGGTGGATTGACAGTATGTAAAGTTACAAATTCACTATTGAACACCGCCAAGTAAATTTCCATCGGGAATGTTCTATGTCCCATCGACCATGTATCTTGGAATGTATTGTATACGCTGCTCAAAATCCGAAGGTAAAAAAGACTTAATAAATATCCGGCTAATGACAATTGCATCAAAAGAATAGTGGGAGGCAAGTTACCTACGGAAAGGTCAACAGAGCCCACGAGCAGACTAGGAAACAAGTACGTCATTCATTTTTTCGAATTTCTAAACATAAATTAAATGAAAAAGCTTATGTTTAAAAATAATGAGACTTTTTTCTAAACATTTGTTTGGCATTCATTTTAAATAAGTTTTGTAATTCTTAACAAAAAGTTCATTCTATCGAGTGCGCGATTTGCTGTTGTCGAAGAAGACACAAATTTGCTCAACTTTCAATTTTTGGCACTTTGGTTTGTAGGCGAGTCGCATGCGGGGAGTTGTGTGTTGTTATATATACGTTCTCTGGGGTAACTGCGACGAAGCTGCTAAACTGTTAAAACTGCTTAGCGCCATCTTTAAGTGGAGTCTCGGCGCAGAAAATTATTGGTTAAAAAATGTGGCAATGCTCTTACAGGTACTTTTATTCGGATTGGTTTCGGACTTATTTGTTTTCACTGGGCGGCGTAAAAGTGATGAGTGAAAAAATCTGTAATGCCAAGAACTTTGTTTTAATTCTGGTGAAGGTTTAATAAAATTTTATAAAACCTTGCTCCAAGTTTATTACACCTTAATAAAAATATAGTATTACAAAAGTGGCGAAGTTAGAAATTTTTAAGTTTAAAAACTCTGCCCACGCAGTGCAATCCTCAATAGTGCAATTAAATATACAATAAGTGTAAGCAATTATACACATCAATACAGATGTATATATGAATATAAGTATTATATAGTTATCAATTCTGTAATTTTTAAATATTTCGATTTATGAAAGTAATTACTAATTACGTGGTAAAAAATATTTTTCTGTCTGGAAATTTATGACTTGTGGCTTGTGCGCAAGAACGGGTTTGAAAAAAATATACATTGTTCAACGAAAGGAAAATGCTATCCCACCGTACTCTAGACTAAAGTAGAGTTTGTATGTATATATTTTCAAATATATTTTACCTGTAGCATAATTGCTTTAAGAATACTTGCTAAAATACAAGACTGCAATGCATATGGAAATTAATAATTAAATGCAATTCGCTTGTTCGCAGACACTTTATTACTGAGTAATACACACAACGGATGTACAATCAAATTGAAGATCATCTCGTTAATTATCATATGGAGTTTATGTATATACACAAATGTATTTTCTGGATAATATACTTAGTGTCGCCCCGTTTTATATGTTCTTGCAATTTTTTCGCAGTTCGACATTGAGTTTGCAATCTTGTGCATAAGCGTTTTGCTGACATTGCCATTCGGTTTTTTTTTATATTATTTTACTGACTTAGGGAGAGAATTAGAGATAAAACATTATAAAGATTTTATGACTCTGGTACGAAAAAATGTCGGGGTTGTTCCGGTTATATATGTATATGCATTTTTACAAAGTGATACGACATTGGTTGTTGTACCATTGTGCAATATGATTGCTTTTTGTTTGGTAGTAAAATTAGTGATATTATTCTCAATGAACAATTTCTCCTTAAAAAAAAATATTTATAAGCTCCTACATCATTCACTTTTCACGAAATTTTCATAGTCTCATTTCGGTTATATACTTTTTAAAAGGGTAGCCTTATTTTAAATTGGAACATAATATTTCGTTAAACATTGTCCGAAACTATTTCATCCATGGAAAAAATATCATGAAAATAAAGGACTAATACAATATTTCAGTGGGCTTGCTTAAATAAAAAGGGTAGGGGGCCATATTGTCTAAGAAAAATAACATGTAGGCGGATCACTATTTCCACAGTCTCGCAATTTAACCTCTTCCCGGGGAGGAGGCCTTATTACCTAAACTATTAGATTCTAAATGTATAACAAAAACTATCAATGTTTTTAACAATAAGCTGCAGTAAGGACAAAAATTAGTAAGTTTTACTTTAAAATAAATAACAAGGCTATATAATAAATGTTTGCTCAAAAATTAGCTTTAAGAAGAAAGCAAAAGGTGTTATAAATCTATACACATTCTGAGCGTACTGATACTTGTGTTATATCAAAACTGCAAAGTCTTTAAACTACGAACTCGACAAACTTCAAAAATTCTTTAATATATAAATTTTAATTTTATTGGAAAATTTTTGGATGCATTTTTGCGAAAACCTTTAATTTTTTTGTTATATTTTCTTATTATATTTAACATGAAAATCAATAAAAATTTTGTAAATGTAATGCGCCGAAAAATTTGTGATAACTTAATGCCATTACTGTATTCTTTAGTATATCAATTATTGTTTTTAAAAATACTCATTTCTTATATTTATAATATCTTGCGTTCTTTTCACAGGCTAATCATGAGGCAGATAAATGTATCAGTTATAGGTCTTTCGGGGACCGAGAAGGATAGAGGCCAAGTCGGTGTTGGAAAATCATGCCTATGCAATAGGTTTATTCGTCCAATGGCCGATGATTACTTTATTGATCACATATCAGTGTTGAGTCAGGTAGTTTAACATATTAATTGCTAAAAAAGAAATTTATTTTTCATATTGGTTTTTTTTTTAATATGTTTTATATTGTAGAGTGACTTCAGTGGACGAATCGTCAATAATGACCATTTCTTATATTGGGGAGATGTACGAAAAACTACTGAAGATGGTGTCGAATATAATTTTCAAATAATTGAACAGACTGAATTCATGGATGATTCAACATTTCAACCATTTAAGGTTGGTAAAATGGAACCATACCACAAACGTTGTATTGCCTCGAAGGTGTTTTCAGCTGAAAAGCTGATGTATATATGTAAAAACCAGTTGGGTATTGAGAAAGAGTATGAACAGAAAGTTATGCCTGAAGGCCGACTTAGTATAGATGGTTTCATCGTAGTTTTTGATGTTAGTCCCGTGCCAAATAGGCCGGTTGAAAAACAAGTGGATTTTGTTCATAATGTCATAACGAATATTTTTAAAAATAAGAAGCCGGTAGTGCTTGTCACCACCAAAAATGATGATTCTAATGATCTTTATATACGAGAAGCTGAAAAAATATGCCAGCGTAAAGAATACAAGGGCTTAGTTCAGCTCGTCGAAACATCATCACATGAATCCATAAATATAGATTTAGCATTTATACTTCTTGCTCAAACCATAGATAAAATAAAAAGTCGAATAAAAATTACTTCTTATTATGAGGCCGCAAAATCACGTAAAGAACTCTTGGACACACGTTCCGAAGCTGTGACGCGTCTAATACGTAACCAGATTATTGATTATCATGTGCTTTGGTCGCAAGGTGCCAAAATCTTAGCGCAGTATAGAGAATGGACGGAATTCTTGAACATTTTTGGTGTAGAAGCAGGACAAAAGTTATTCAGACGTCATATGAAAAAGCTGCGTGATGATCATTTAAATAAAAAACTGAATCAATACATTGATAAGTTTGCCAATGCTTTGGAATATCTATTGCCTGACATAAGCATATTAGGCAATGTAGATGAAAATATATGGGTAAATGCGAAGGGCATTTTGCGAAGCCACATCGACTTTGAAAGGTATTTTTTTGAATGCCCACAAGCTTCATGGACTGAATTAGTTGATATGGAAGAAGCTGAGGATGAAACTCGAATCCCATTTGATGTATTGGATACACCGGAAGCCGAAACCATATTTAGAAACTATGTCAATGCGGTGCAACAAGATAAAAAGAAAATAAGGTAGGTGCATTCATTAATAACATAAAGCCTATTACATACAATTGTTATATTTTCATTTTACAATTTTTCATAATAGCTGGAAGCATCAGTTTAAACTACTGTTGGAGGAGTCTGGCTTTGTTACTCCTGGTAAGCAGTTATCAGAGGTTCGTGTGCTTTTTATGGGCCGCGAATGTTTCGAAGCATTGTCGGAACATGATTGCCAACAAATTTATGATATTCACCAAGATGAGATAATTGAGAAGAGTAAACAAAACTTCATTGAATTACTATTAGAGAATGCTCAATTTTTCCAACAGTTCAAAAATGTTGATATCATTACTCAAGAAGACGTTCGTGCTATAACCGATCTTATACAGGAGGATTCCAGGTAAATGGCGATAAAAAATTTTTACACTGCATTCGGTTTAGTTTTTTAAATTCAGTTTTTTATTTATATTTTATAACCGGTGCTATGTTTACTCTCTGGATACTTTCTTTTGCAGTAATATTGGTCGTAATTTATTAATACTAATACATTGCCACCAAAGCTTAAAAAAGGAACTAAAAATAACCTATTCACATATCTATGTGTTTATATATAATTTTTTCCAGATATAAGATCTTAGATAGACTAGATCAGGAGAGGCGAGTTTTACTCTTCCAACATTTGGGCTTTATACACTGCCCCATACGCGAGCATTGTCCATTCTTCCACAATTGTGTCGATAGTTTAGTAGATGAATGCTTAGTGGACAAATCGCCAAATCAAAAGAATTCTAGCAACTGGAAGTCCACTGGCTCAGATAGAACTTTAAACTTATTAATAGTTGGCTCAGAGCACTTAGCAAGTGATTTGCTCAATGATATACGCATGTGCACAGGATCAAAGGGAGAATATGTTTATGAAAACCAAACATATTACTTAAATTATCGCATCGCCAATGGGGATATGGAAGCATTTAAGTCAATTGATGTCCATTCGAGTGGTAAACTTATTTCTACATATTTATTACTATTACTTTATAATATGAGTGCATATTATTATTATTATTTATTTCAGGCTTAATTTGTGTCTACTCAAATCAGCAATCGTTTGAAACGCTTAAGGATAATCTAGAGCGCACATTGTTGTGTAATTTGGAATTAGAGGACAAATTTGAAAATTTACCCATCGTGTTGGTGTATCAACCTCAAGATTTGAAAGAAAGTGAAGTTGAGTACCTGGGTAATGAAGGTTTACGATTGTCTGAAATGCTACACTGCGATTTTATTGATCATCAACAAAATCAGCAAAAATATGTTTACGATATTCTCAATATTGTTATACTCTCATTGAGACTTTCCGAAATGAAAAATATTGATTCATATTCTTCGAATCATATTGATCTTCGAATACTCGTATGCATGTTTTGTGGGGACCAGTATGATATTGAAAACATTATTAACCCACTATTAGCCGAATCAACAAATTGTAAATCTTCTGAACATTCCATTGTGGTAGATGTATTCATAGGAGATTCAAAGAAACGAATTGAATTTATCTTATCATCTTATCATGGTATCAACCAATATCGCGAAGAGCTAATTCATGGATATATTTACTTTTATTCTGGTAAACGTCGATCATCATTGGCCAATTTAAGGTGAGTTTTATACATAATTAAAGCTTAATAAGTACAACCAATTAATAAAACACTAACTATATATATTAATTCAGTGTTTTAACTGTGCAAAACTCCAATATCCCGTTACAAATAATCGCTATAACTGAAAGCGGAGGTGCAAACGCATTCTTCAATAGTGAAATATGTCAATTTTTAATAACAGAAGGAAATTCTTTAGCTGATAGGTGCAAAGGCAATTTTATGACATTCTCTGCCGACCAGTATGTTAAATGTAAGTAAAACAGATAACATGAGAAACATGAATATTTCTTGAATTTTTTATATTTTAATTAATTATGTGAATACTTTTCTTCGTTTAGTTGCTTTTTATACTCCCTTTTTGAAAAATGTTTGGGAAAATAAATATGAAGTTGAAAATCTACATGTAGAAGAATCAATAACGTTGGATTCTGGAGAGGGCACTTTGGAAAATTCAGTGAATCAGTTGCCACGACCACCACCACGACATGAAAGCTATATGTTGTCCAGCACTATGGGTACGGATGGCTCGGGTAGTGAGAATTATGAAATGCTACCAACACGATCGCTAAATTCGCTCAATGGTAAGATATTTTCTTTAAATCTCATACCAAACAAGTTGGCAATTTTTTTTATTATTAATTGCAACTGTCCGTGGTTATAGACAAGTTAGAGGCACGTTATAATATTCAAAATTGTTCTCTAAGAAAAGCATTCCTTTTAAATTAACTAAGGAACAACGAAGGCCGATGTCTCAAAAAAATTTTCATTCGTAAAAAAAAAATTGAAAAATATAAGAATTTACCAATTTTTCGATTGGAAACATTATAAGTTGATAAAAAATGTACCACACCTCACCTTTTGTATTTGATAGTTATATCCCTTTCATCTTTCATTATTGAATCAATTATGCCATGTATTGCCTAAATGTCAGGGAATATTAGTCTTCCTGATTTTGTCAATGCCTAATGTTTACGCGAGCAGCGAAAATCCTTCTCAAACGATAAGCGAAATGATACGGTTAAAGTGCTTAATTGAATTCATCACCTTATGGTCCGGATCAGATATATGTTTGTATCTTCTCGCAGCGTCAGATACCAGTTTATGGCATTGGTTAAAGTACCACGTTTTGATACGAGCTTGGTGCTTAATTTGAAAACATTTCAACATTCTGCCCAACTCGCTTATACAGTGACAATTGATTGAATTTGTTATTCATTTTTGGAACTTCATTTTAAAATTATTTTCAAAATATAATTAACTTTTGGGGGCTCAGATGCTAAATTGTTGGTATTTCTTATATTTGATACTATTTTTTTACTACCGACATCATCCGCATGAAATTTCAAAATAGTTCTAATAAAATTTAGAATTATTTTTTGCTGTTATATTTATTTTAACATATAAATTTGTATGTAAAAATATTTGAATATTTATAAAAATACAACAAATGTTTTGAGTCCAAATACCAAGCAAAAATAAACCATCAGTGATTTAGGCTGTGGGTTGATTCGTCAGTCTGCAGGAGATTTTTAAATAAACCTTTAACTATACGGAGATTTCTTTATACATTATATGAGTTTATTTTAATCTTACTCTGATTAATTATTGTATATTTTGATTAAGTATGACAAATAAGCTCTGCGTAACAGCTGGTTCACATCTGTGTTGTCGTTGTTATACCTATATTACATACAGATGACATTATTTTAAAATTAAAAAACAAGATTAGATAAATAAAAGGATTTAGCAAAGAGTTTTTTTTTAATTGTTTTAAACCTTTAAATGTTTTAAAGACCACATATTCCGAAACATGTATTGTGGTGTATAAAAAAGGAGTGAGATCGATCTGTGCATTGTGTACTTCTTCTATTAATTTCTACAGTAGTAATTGATGAAATTTGAACATTTCTTTCTACAAATACAGAGGAAAGGGATATCTCTTTAGATGAAATTTACGACGACAACGAAAAGCCGAAACACCATCACCAAAGTAAGTGATGCTGAGAAGTTTTATTTTGTTATTATTTTTTGTTTAATGGAACTCTACCACAAGTCACAGAAGCAATAAATACATTTCAATTTAAAACACGCGAGTATTCTTTAAAAGATTTGTTGAATTAAATAAATGATTGCTCCTATTGGAAATTAATAAACTGTCTAAATTTATTGAACTTCACAAAATTATGTTTTTGATAATTTTTCTACACTTCTCGTGATATTTTGTTATAGTAATTTGGATATATTCATATATTGGGCATGTATCAAGGCTTAAATTTTTTGTTGTTGTTGTTGTTGTTATAACCGCAAAAGTATTCTAGATTGTCGCGGGAGCTATTTTATTGCAATTATCTTTACAACAAGCATGCCTTATCGCGGGTAAATTCCTGACCCTTAACCCGCAGGAGTGCCAGACTTCGCTACACTTCGATATAGTCAAATTGGAAATTGTGTATACGGATTGATGGCTAAATGAAAAATGATTAAATAAAACGCTATTTATTTTATGTACCGACGGACTTACTTTTCAAGTCTCTAACCGTCCACTTGGCGTGTTTTACTAAATTACTTTTAGCTTATATACATATGTAGCTGTCTTGTGATTTGTGGTTATAGTTTGTTTTATTAAACACTCAAAAATAATGTAAAATATGTATTGATGTGTATTAAATAATTCAATTATTAATAATTTGAAGATAATTTAAATTATTCTTAGTTTTCTTCCGGTTGCTTAATTTTCAGTATAAATTTGTTTTACATTATAAAGACATAAATGAGTATTGTAAAAAAACTCAGTAAATGATTGATGATTTAAATTGCTATTAAGGGTTTCAGATTTTCCCACCTCCAACAACTCCTCCAGAGCCAGCTCCACCTGATCATCAACTCATAACGTGTACATATAAGAGTCAATTCGTATCGGCTTCCGAGTCTAGTTTGGAAGAAATAACATGTAATCTATTTTATTTATTTGAAAGATGTGCAAATATAATGCTCTTTAATGATTTTTTCATGCCTTCATTAAGCAGCTGATGTAAGTGGATCAAAGGATTCATTGGCCACACATGAAGCAGGTTGATTTTAGCTTGTTTTTATTATATAATCACATAACGTTTACCGTTATTATTTGCGAAGTTCACTTTGTTTTTCTTTATTCACACTCATTATTTTATTTTGTTGAGAATTCCGTTTATTCAGTTATTGATTTTTTTTTTTTTCTGTAATATAATGCTCATACGAAAATGAGTATATATAATGTAAATCAATACTCTTTTAATAAATAAAATAGAAATTACATCATACATATGTACCTACATACAACATTTTAACATATTCAATTTGTTATACGACTGTGAATAATTATAGAGAAAGAAGTGCCATATGCTTACATTAAAGAGCACATAGCTATTGTTTTAATTTTAGTGGAAACTCTGATGAAAGTGGTCAGAAGCCGGTTCATTATAAAAATATTAGCTTTAATTTGGCGAAAACCAAAAAATTGAGGCAAAGTTAGTTAACGAATAGTTTCAATATTCGGCGTCTCTTTTATGCAGACATATGTGTATGCACACATTTTTTTTGTTATTAAATTATTAAATTTGAATTAAAAAAATGATAATCGTTGAACAGTTAAATTCGCCGCATCTTATAATCGTCCATTGAGTGTATATTTGTATATAATTTTTTATTGCACTTTTCACCTCATCAAATATTCTCGGCTCTTGATATCTACCTATATATAATTGGCGCTTTGCAACCCGATTTATTGGTTTGCGTCTTTATGTTTTTCCAACAAATGGAGGGATCGGGACCTGCCGAGGCGCGACCGCGGTTAAAAAAAATCAATTCTGAATGTTTCTCGAATCAGGACGCGGGCCCTGCTCTTCCGAATGGCAATAGGCAATGCAAATATATAAAATTCCTGTGTAATGTATAATAATACTTGCAAAAAAAGAGATAGTTTCCATATACAAATTAATACCACAAAACATACGTGTATGTAGGTTATCCAAATTGGTATTAATTACACTATTTCAAATTATATTTTTTTGTTATATTTTTTTTTTAATTTAAACATATTGTTAATATATGTTTTTATTAATAAAGCTGATTTCATGTATTATTACTATTATTATTATTATTATTTTAATTAATTAATTTGTGAAAGTGTTAATTAATACTAGAATAGATAAAGTATTGAAATTATTTATTTTCAACATTTATATGCAAATAATTCTCCGATTTGCTACCTTCTGTTGTTCTTTTCGGTTTAATTAAGCCTTTTAATTTTATATTCTTTTAAAAAATTTATTTACAGAATGGATGGATGATAAAAATGAACCACGTAGAAATTTAAATAAAAATTCCATTTGGAATAACTTTAGCGGCTCCACACACGCTTACACAACCGGTCGTCGCCACATTGATTCCAATTTAAATAAGATTCGTCCAAAAGGTCCCAGTCAAACATTAAAAGTAAGCATTTTTTTTGATATTCAACTGTGACAGTAGTATTAATCATTTACAAATTTCAGCAACCCGGTAAATTAAATATGAAAAATTTTCAATTAGTTAGTGAAGCAGTTGCTAAAATGAACTTTGGTGGTGATTCTTTTCTACCCACATCGGATGCTGACAAATGCTCTAAACGTTATACGCACTTTAATCACACTCAACTGGATTGTGAAGAAGATGATTCTGAGGAGCTGGCTGAATACGAGCAGATTTATGAAAACGAGGGTATATCAATATGAAAGTGAATCAAAATAAATTGAAACTAAAAATTCTGGTTCTTTATTAAATCAAGATTGCACCGAGTCGGATAGCTGCGCTAGTTCAACTGAACGCAAGGTGCGCCAACAAAATAGCTCATATTACAAACTCAATAAAAAACCACCAACCAACAAAAAAACTAAAAAAAAGAAAATTGCCATACCCGTACAAACACCGAGAGTACCGCTTTTCGGGTCCTACGTTAGCCCACCAGAAATTCCACAACATTATCACCGAGCTGCGCCTGATGCTAGTGAGACGAAGCTTTTTACATAATATTAATATTTAACTTCTTTTTTTGCTAAACTAATACATAAATGCATGTTTTGTATATCTTATAGAAAAACCGGGTGAACAATGCACAAATGACATTGTGAAGAATGACAAATCACCAGATGTAAGACATTGTTTTTTTATTTATTTATTTGTTCACCTGTTTTTTTAAATCAATTAATTTCTAGCAGTATTCCATGGTTCCTGAAAGTATCAATTTGTTTGGCACAGATAATTTAACAGAATTTAATGTTAATCCAAAAGCTCTAAAGGAGTTTGAAAAAACAGAGAAACGTCGTTTGAAGGAAGATAATGCCAGACTCAGAAAACTGCAAGAAAAGGAGAAAGAACAAGAAAAGAAACATAAACGAAAATTAAAACAAGCTTCCAAAGGTTTAGCAGACAATACCGAATCTCATTTTGGAAAATTATTAATCTCAGATAAGGATGAAATTCCAACCTTCCTCATAAGATGTGTAGAATTTATTGAAAAAGAAGGTCTAGATTCTGAAGGCATTTATAGAGTTCCAGGAAGTAGAGCTCATGTGGATTTGCTCTTTCAAAAATTCGAAGAAGGTGAGGAGAAATTAATAAGTGAAACGGTCAAGAGGTCTGTATCTGTGTGTGTGCATATTCTTTATCTTAATCATAATTGCATTCATAGATAAGCAAAAAGAAATACCCCTGTGGGTGAGGGGCTCCAAAATTTATTCGTGGTAAGGCATGCCTGTTGTCGGGTCTTTATACCGGACGACCAGGATTTTTATCCGGCTCCCGCAATATTACTCTCTGTGTGATGTTCTCTGTGCTCTCCCGTGTCTGTTACTGACGTAGGCACCTCTAACACAATCATAGCTATGAAAGTTTTCGGTGCAGTACCCACCGGTGGAAGCAGACCTCCATGTCGTTGGAAAAGGACCTTGCTGCACAATGCAGTTCCAATTGACGCCAAAGAGCGAGTTGTTAACCTTGTTTTTAACCTAATTTGGTGCCGAAGAAGCTTTTGGTGTTGCTTACCGGAAGTTAATAGTTTTGGGGGATACCAAATTCAGGAATGCAGTAGTGGTGTGCGTCGATCCTCTTTCCACGAGTCTAAACTGTGTTTCGTTCGTATCTTTACAGCAACAAGATTGTGGTTCGAGTCGGTGTTGGGTCCTCGAGCGTACGCATAGAAACAGCAGAAGACACCTTCTTTGCCCACCCCGTCATTAAAATCGCTCAGTATAAGCATGGCGGGGGCAGCTGCTCATAAGTATGCTCCTGGTCCTCATAAAGGTCACATCGTCTGTTTTTCACCACGAATCGGAGGCCAAATTTCGATGCCTTTATATGGGTGCTGTAATAAATCTCACAAAGACTTACTCGTCTTCGTCATTGTGCCGTCCATCGGACATCTTAGATCGCGGTGATGTCAGTCTTTAGCCTTACGAAGGCATCAACTAGCTGGGCAGTGGTCTCTTCCCAATTAAGGGACCGGATATTTCAGACGCTTGATATGCTTGTAATAGTCGTCATCAAGGAGGAGGAGGATTGCGAGGATTGTTTACATTTATCCTTTGTTGGGTCTTAAACCCTCTGCACAACAAACGAATATTTGTTGGCTGCCTAGAGGATACTTGCAAAATAATAAAAAAAATAATCGTTTTGGTCTCTTCCAGATAATTGGCAGTCAAAAGCTTTTCTCATTTTCGTAAACTTACACTCAAAGTGACATCCACCCTGAACGAAATATTTAAAATCACAACAACATGTATTAAATAAAACCCTCTAGCACTTTTTAATCATCGCTATTTATCTTTATTCAGATTTATCATCATTAATATTATCCACACTTCACATTTTCATTTCAGATCCTCATACCATTATTGATGTGCTTGATATTCCAGTAAACGCAGTAGCAACTGCGTTAAAAGACTTCTTTTCAAAGCGTCTGCCTCCTTTATTTAGCAAAGATATTATTAAGGAACTAGAAGATATTGCAGGTAAATAAACTGCGATTTTATATCCACGGAAATTTCTATTTTTTTTATTAACAAATTTTTTTTATATAAATAAGGCTCACGAGGCATTGGCACATCCAAAGTAAATGTAGAAGTTAAAACGGACAGAAGTTGCCGATTGATATTATTGAAGACTTTATTGCAGAAATTACCGCCCATGAATTTTTTGATTCTGAAGTACATTTTTGAGCACTTCGTACAGTAAGTATACACAATTAGAATGAAATAATTTCAATTTAGCATTACATAAATTACTTCTTTGTCCTCAAAATTCTAGTGTATCGGAGAATTCCAAACTAAATAGCATGGATAGTAAGAATTTGGCAATTTGTTGGTGGCCAACACTGATTCCTATTGATTTTACTGATATGAGCCATTTTGAACAATTGCGGCCATATTTAGAAGATATTGTGCAGACGATGATCGATCAGTTTCCCTATTTGTTTTGCGGAAAAGATGCTTTTGTTATGGTTTAAATACTCGTATATTCTATATTCCAACGTAAAAGCTTCATCTATTTAGATGTTATTATGTGGATGAATATAAAAGAAACTGTGTTTTAATGGCTTTGTTGTGTGAAGTGATGTTTAATTAAGAACATTCGAATATGCGTCTAAAATAATAATTTATATTATGTGTTAAATTATATTTAAGCTATAAATGTTTTAAATGTCTTGTATGTATGTTTAACGAGTTGTGTAGTGATATCTATGCCATGTGTATGTATGCTTATATAATATATATATTTTTTAAATTTGGGTGTATTATTGTAGGTGTTGTTCTTATAAATTGAGCTAAACAGTAACAAAAAACAAAAAGAAACTTTATCAATGGAACACTTTTGAAAAGAACTAAACATATGAATGAAAAAAGGAGAATGCATTCATATACATACCTACATATATTAAAAATAGTGAAAAGTAATGATAAAGGAAAGATTTGTATAAATGTGTGTCTATTTCATGATATACCTTATAAAATTATGCATTCGTAATCAACGCGATTTGGTGTAATTATATTTTTTAAAATTATGATATTTACGAGAATCCATACGGGTTCTCGTCATAATCAAAATGCACAAACAGTATAAAAATAAATAAAATAATTCCAAACAGAACTAGCTTTTTTTTTGTTTAATTTTCTAAAAAGTTTTCGCTTATAGTAAGCTATCTTAGTCAAATTTAAGAGTTTAAAATGGTAAAACCCAATATAGCTCTGAAAAAATACAACCAACTATTTTAAAGCTTAATAAACTTAGCATTAAACAATTGTAATTGTATTGGATAACTACTTGTCATGCAGACTCAATGGTGTGGCGATGCATCTACAGCCCTTTATACATGTTCATGGTATGTTAGAGGATTTTCCTCAAAAGTCCTTGCAATTTATCGTCGTAGTGATTGTTAAGACGATCCTATATTCTAAAAATCTTGGGAAGATTTTTTAGACTATAAATGATTTGAGTACTTACCACGAAGGCGAACCTAGTAACTAAAAACTACAGCGCGGCCAAGGTTGCGATTGTACTAAATTTTCCCTCGTCTGACTTTCGGGAAACTTGTAACAGCTGCAAAAGAGGGAAAAGAATGACTTGATGAGTGAGTACAAAGTAGCAGCGAAATTGTCAAATTGTTAGCCTGGCGCACCTGTGGGAAAAACAAAGACACGTTGCTAGAAACTTACAAGGCAATTCCCCGGTCTCGTTAATTATTAACGGGACGTCTACAAGACGTAAACCTTCTTGATGCCACCCATGCAGCAGTGGAACATCTATGCTTATAGTTAAGGAGCTTAATGATATGCTGTACAAGCAATATTTGCTGGCCGTAGATATTACAATGCAAAATCACTTTTTCCAACAAGTCTTAATGAGAAAGTAATTGAAAAACAGTTCTATCTCGTCAAGTAAAGAGCAAACTCTACAAGTCTCACAACATTCCCGCCTTACTTTATGGTGCAGAAGCGAACGATTTATGAAACTCTCTGCACTCTTTATGGCAAATACTGTAGACGACGGAGCGATTAGCGGTATGAGGTATACGACGGTATTGGCATTGTTTAGCGAACTAAGAGACGGTTGCATCGCTGGCTAAGTCATGTCGTACGTATGGGCAAAAACACTCCAGATTTGAGAGCAGCAATATTCGCTGGTAGAAGCGTAGGAAGAGGAAGGCCTTCACTCAGATGGAACTTGGACTAGGTGTCTCCACTTGACGTCGCACTGCGTTCGATACCTGCCCATTATGTCATTCGTTCCCTATTCCATTTGGAAGCGGTTTTGCGATTTGCCTCGTAAGTTTTATATATACATACATACATTTATACTTTACCTGAAACATAGTTTTCCAATTGCCAAGAAAAAAAGTTTGTCTAAATTTTTATTAAAAACAGTTTATAAATAACATTACTATTTGAAAACAGAAATTAAATAAGTGTACTTTGATGTAGTAGAAAGTGTTATAAAAGCAATATTACAATAACTGTGGTAGAATTAGATCTTAAAAGAGATTTTTACAACTGATACCATTTTTTATCTTTATATTTAAGCATTAATTGATGTGCTGTTCCACTGAAGTCTTGAGCTTGGTTGGCCATGCGTTCCGCCCGTTCCTCCAGTAAATTAAGCTTCTCACCTCTCTCCATTGCCAACTGATGCGCTCTGCTTATCTCAGAGGCTGCGGTAGAAGCTCGCTGTCCTAACTGATCCAAATTGGGACCAGGTATATGTTTGGCAACTGATCTATTTGCTTTCCCACTTTGTTCGCCAACTAAAATAAAAAAAAGTGAGACGAAACTCTTATATGGTACTTAAAAACATTGCACTCACAAAGTTCTTCTCTATCCAAACTTTTTGCTCCTCCTCCAAATAGTCCTTTGAAAAAGCTCTCCTTCGGTTGTTCAGGCATTTCGTGTGACGTATATAATTCACCCATCATCTCCAAAATAAATTGACTGCAAAGAAGTATAAATTTTTTATTATATTTTTAATTTAAATTAACTGCTAAATATTTATTATTGAACAATTTTGTACCAGAATTCCGATGAAACTGTGAATTTCTGAATTTCGGTGGGTGTTGCCATATACAATCCATGCCCTTTGTGACTGAAGCAAAATATCTTTGAAATTCTGTAAAAAAAATTTTAATATTTAAAGTAAAGTCATGTGAATTTTGAGATTTTTAAAATGGTATGGATGTACTAGTATAGTATACAAATTTACATAAAGCAGAAGTAAAATTTATTTCTTATTTCTTAATTTGAATAATTTGAGAAAACATGGAGAAAGGCATTGCGCAGTGGTGAAGGGTTAGGAATGGAGTTTTTTACTTTTTCTAAATCTTTCATTCGAGTTCGGATCCCTAAAAAAATTATATACATATATATATATATATATATATATATATATATATATATATATATATATATATATCTTTTTATTAGAGTTCCAGTTTTTGTTCGAACACTTTCGAGCAGTTGGAGGATCTGAGCAACGACTACTCGCGCACTTGTCCATGACTCACAAACAAATTTTTACTTTTCTCACAACTTTTTTCTATAATTTTAAAATTATTTTTGAAGTGTACAAACATAATTGAAAATTGGAAAATTTTAAACAAATTCGCATTGCTTGATACAAGGGAACCTAAAGCTCTAAAATATGTATACGTATATAATTGACAATTTGTCCCCGCTGAAGTGAGTTTCTGCTGAAATATGTATGCACTTGAGTTCAAAACAGCGACTGTGATCTGATGATAGACAAAACATCACTTGTACAGGATACTAAGGCCAATAAAGGATTTGCTTTAATCAATAGAGAGGATCTAGGGCGAGTTTTAAAACAGACGGGGCAGAAAAATTTTTGGAACAGCTTGCGACTATTTAATTGTATTTTTTCTTTTGGCAGTTATAAGCTCTCTTTCAGCTTGCTTAAGAAAAAAAAGTACGCATAATTTTGTTTTTTTGGTTGCTTGGCGTCATTTTAAATATGGTGCCCACAAAAGAACATTTTCGCCATATTTTACTTTATCATTTCCTTAAATGAAAAAATGCACCGCAGGTTTGCTCAAAAAAAGTTGCATAGTTTTTAATGTAATAAGGCTGCGGTAACCCAATGGTTAGCATTGCGTACTGACAATCGGAAGGCTCGGTTCAAATACCAGTGCCACCAACATCCCAAAGCTATGGAAAATTAATTTAAATAAAAAATCAAGTTAGATTTTCTAGTTGCGGCCGCCCCTTGGCAAGGAATGTCAACACCTCCGAGTGTATTTCTGACATGAAATAAAGGCTCCTCCTACAAAAAAACAATCTGCCGTTTGGAAAAACATCAAGACGCAAAACCGCTTCAGGTTACAAAGCGCCAATTATATATCAACCGTTCATGATCATATAAGACGTCTTAGAGTGGTAAAATAACTTGGTATTTGGGTTCCACATAAATTGAAAGAAGTTCATGTAACAAGCCGCTCAACGCTTGTGATAGTCATCTTAAACGCAATGAATACGTTCCGTTTGTGAACCAAATCATAACGGATGATGAGAAATGGATTCTTTACAATAACGTCAATCGAAAACGATCATCATAGTCCAAGCATGATGAAGCACCACAAACCACTTCAAAGGCTTATATTCACGAAAAGCAGATTTTGCTCTCCGTTTGGTGCTGCTTCCATGAGACCAAACGACTAATTCGGCTGTCTACTGTGAACAACTGGACAAATTGAATATATCCATCAACGAGAAGCGGTCAGAATTAGTCAATCGTAAAGGTGTCATATTTCACCAGGACAATGCTACACCGCACACATTTTTGGCTGCTCTCCAAAAACTGAGAGAGCTTGGGGGGGGGGGGAACTTTTGATCTATCCACCATATAGCTCTAACCTTGCACCGTCATGCTACCATTTGTTTCGATCTTTGCAGAAGTCATAAAATGGTAAAAATTTCGAGGCTATAAAATCGCAACCTTGGTTCAGTTCTTTGCAGATAAAGGCCAGAAGCTCTTTGAACGTAGATGTTGCTGGAAAAGATGGCGAAAGGTCATCCAACAAAATGGACATTGCATAATTGATTAAAGCTCATTATAAAAATTAAAAAATCGATTTACTTTAAAAAAATCACCGGTTTCTTCTGGGGCAACCTAATATAATATGAAACACAGAATTGTTTTAAAATTATCAAGTCTGCGAACTAATGTGAACTCATACAACAATACATCGACTGAATTTTGGCCCGTATTCGACACAGTGCGTCAGTCGTTGCGGGCTTTCGCTTCAGACACGAGCCTTAACATATTTTTCTTCTTTATTAGCGTTGGCACCGCTCACGCAATTATAGCCGACTCAATATTAGGGCTCCATTCATCCCTTCTTTTCGCTGTTTGGCCCCAGTTGAAAATACTAATGGAAACCAGGTCACTCTCCACCTGATCCTTCCGACGGAGTCGTGGTTTTCCTTTTCCTCTGCTTCCACCAGTGGGTACTGTATCGAATACTTTCAAAGCTAAAGTACATTCATTCATTCGGACGACATGATCTAGCCAGCGTAGCCTCAGTCTCTTCATTCGCTGAACTATGTCAATATCGTCGTAAAGCTCTTACAGCTCATCCTTCCATCGTGTGCGGTATTCGCCGTTGCTAACGCGCAAAGGACCATAAATCGTTCGCAAAACTTTTTTTAAGGCTCCCGAAGAGGACTATATCGTCCACGCTTCTGCGGCATATAGTAGGACGAGCGGACTTTATTTTTCAATTGCCTACTCATTCCGAAGTAGGACCTGTTGAAAAGAGTGATTCTGCAGTAGATTTCAAGGCTGATATTATTATTGGTGTTAATGCTGGTCTCTAGATAGACGGAATTAATTACGACCTCGAAGTTATTACTTTCAACAGTGACGTGGGAGCGAATGCGATGACTGTTTGTTTGTTGACAGGAGATATTTCGCCTTGTCCGTTAGTTCGATCACTACCAGTTTCATTCGGTTCAATTCTTCATCAAGTCTGGAGAAAACAAAACTAACGGCTCGGCTGTTAAGGCCTGTGTATCTACACTCTTGTAAAAGATTTTACCTTCACTGTTCAACTCTGCAGCTTTTATTAATTTCCCCTGCATCGAATTGAAGAAATCACACGATAAGTAACCCTTTCTGAAACTTCGCTTGGTACTGAACGGATTGGAGAGGTCCTTCCCAATTCTGACTGCGCTTCTGGTGTTGTCCACCATCAGTTTACTCAGCGGCGTAGAGTCGGCCCCTTTTCGTACTGTCGAAGGCTGCTTTAAAATCGACGAATCCATTTGGGGATGTTTCGGCGTGGAGATTGAACTTTTCAAAAATTGAGCCGAAGAACTTTTGATCTATTTGAGACGCTCGTAAGAGATTTCTTGGCCACATCGGCCTCTCTTCCGTCGGGGCGTGAGCGCAAATAAACGATATGTTAAAGAATTTCGCTTTGATGCGGATTATGGCGAGACGTTCATCTACCGGACTTAATGCCAGTACTCGGTGACAGAGTCTCCCTCCCACCACGTATCCCACACCAATTTTGCATCTGCCCGCTGTGGTATATTTCACAAGAGCCCACCCTCTTCTGTAATTTTCTCAGAAGAGCAACACGTTTCGAATTAAGGGATCGGAAAATTTTTTAATCCTAATCGACAATTCATGGTCATTTGCCTCTTTCCGCACTCTATGTCATCACAATCCCATCCTTTAGCACACACTCAATGGGTCTTTAAGGTATTTATGTACAAGCGGCACATGCTAAACCATCGGACGAGATTTCCCACCAACCATCGGTAAGCGCGCACGGGGCGAAATTATTAAAGTTCAAATTCTTACCAAGTAGCCATATGACCAATAATGCCTTTAAATATTAAAGAATTTTGAAAATAATAAATCTGTGTAACTAGTTTTAAATAAAAATTTTGGTTTACAAATATTAATCAAAATGCGAGTGGTTTCGCGTAAAAAGCTGGCACAGAAGGTCGACCAAATTCAATAATTTGCAAGCGTTGTACGTTTGTAAGTCGGTTCAAGGTTGAATCGCTGACCAAACTAAACATTTTTGACAGCGCGACAAGGCATAAAAACACAAGAGCTGTCAGAAACAAATTGTCTAAGAAGAATGTTGTCAAAGAAACTTTTTTATTAGTCTGCTTACTAAATTTGGAGAAATAAGAAGAGCACGCCAACTCGGAAAGATTAAATCCCGTCAAGCACTATTTTCATATCCTGGGAAATGCAATTTAAATACTTACTGAGTTGTGTCTTCATGTACAATGATTTGTTGACCCCATATAGACAACATTGGATCCACAATTCCTTGTTTGCACTTTGTCTGAAAACTGCAAGAGAATCGAAGAAGATTAATGAATACAAGGATTCCACAATATATAATATTGGTTTTTCTTAAATTTTGGTTTGACCTCGCTACGGTGGCCAAAGATAATTGCCAAATCAAATAAAGAAACCTTACAAAATGTTTAACGCCAAATAAAGCAGCAACATGGCAACGGTTTGAAGAATGAGTTTTTAGGAGTCATAAATTATCACAAAAATTTTGTCTATACCTAGGTCGCGGCCTTATAGATTCATTAAGCTAAAGAACGTATTCATCATCAGTGGTTACAATAATCAAATTCCGCTGGCTTCCTACCTACCACTTTCTTGTTATTTTTTGTTGGGGACTTGAAAATTAATTCGCAGAAGGGAACGCCTGTCATGAAAGACGACTAAGTAAGATCTAGTAGTTTTTATGAAGTCGAGGCTTTATTTCGGGTTTTTATCCCTGCCTAGCATTTGGAGAATGTTTTTGTAGTTGTAACACCAACAACACCTACTTATTTCTCTATCCCATTGCTTTCAACATGTTGCTATTTTATAATTTTATATTAATAGCTCTTTTACATGTTTATGGTTAAAACTTCTTTAAAGAAATATGAGTAGAAAGATGATTTTGAATGTAAAAAGAATAAATTGATTGCACCTTTAGAAATAGCCCTGCAGTACTGCTGGTAGTCACTTGATCCAAAATCTATACAGATTTTATTAGAAATAATTTCACCTGTTAAATGACAATTGTGGAGTTCTACTTTTTGATGTTTTCTTGTTATAAATTGGCTTTGAATTATATTCCCTATATACTTTAAATACATGATTCAATAATTATTCAATCATGCTTTAAATGTTTTCATATTTTGAATTAATGATTGAATTAATGATTTGATTTTCAAACTAAATATATGTACACGTTTTGCTCTTAGTTGGTACAAAAGCGTGTATCAAAATTGGTATATTTTTCAGGTTATATTTCAATAAATAATGAGAGCTCTGGTTCAGTGGAAGGCCAACTAAGAAATGCCGTACAACTCGGGAAAAAACGCGCCTAGAAGCAAAGGAGATATCTACCGCTTCCCATCACACCGATTAGGCTTACTTATTTACTTATTCTCTTTTTCTTAATTAAAACCGTTAATATTAAGTATTTATTATAATCTAATTTTTATGTTCATGAAATGCCTTCCTGGGCACTATCGAAGTGACTGATGCCTATGTACTATAGCAGTGACTCATTACTCGGCACTATAGAAAAGTCTAACGACACGGCCATGCAAAATTCTATAGTTAACTGTGGTGAGAAAAGATTGATCGGTGGCTGCCCACCATCACTAGTGACTATAGAATTCGTTAGATAATCGATACTCACTATCCCTGCAGGGAACTGGGTTTTTGTATAAATACCCACCTTAATTCCATCAATGGTAAAAATTCTGTATCCATTAATAATCTTAGACTAGGAAGACTATGTATCATTAAATGTCCATTTGATAGATACGTCGCTAAACATGATCCATCTGGAAAGTAAACGTTAAATCAATCAAATTTGAGAACTTTATGAAAATTATAGAGGAAATAAATAAAAAAAATATATATATTTTCCGTCTATTCTCTAATACTATAACAAGCAAAAAGCAAGTAGGTATTGCTCACCTTTCATTGAAATAGTTTCCGCTTTAACTGCAAAATCCATCTCTGATAAATTATTGCGATAAATACAACTTTGATTTGCAATATCGAAGACTTTTGTTTGCTTTTCACTTGTGATTACTATATATTGTCTGTCTGTTAAAGAGTCTAATCCAGTGCTGAGGCTTCCACTTATGCCGCTTGTGCTAGCAGTGCTGCAGCTACTGTAAACATTTCCACCCGGAGTACTTGATATTGTGTTGGCAGTTGTTGGTGTGAAAGTTGGGCTCGTTTTACTACTACTTTTTGTTGGGGTTCCTTAAAGTGAAAATCAATTTATTATAAAACTTTAGTTAGTTAGATTTTAAAAAATATTTAAATTTTATTTGTAATTTCGTCTGTTAAAAATGAAACAACTATACTCACGGTCTTTTCTTCCATCATCTCTCCAAGCTTCAAACGAATAAGGAATTAAAGAACCAAAAGAGTCTAAAAATGACATGGATGTAATTGAACCCTTTAGCCGCACAAGTGGCCCTCCTAGATGTAACAATACAAAAAAAAAAAAAGGATACGTTTTGAAACTACACGACAATGATAAATGTTCAGGAGTTAAACCTACCGTTAATTGTCACTAACACAGGCTGTGTTTTTCGCACTTCTCTCTCGGGTAGAGATATTTGAAGAGTTAAAATGGATCCGAAACTAGTGCCGATCCAAAGTGTAGGAACAAGTGTTAAAGCCTCTATTAGACGAGAAAAATAATTGAAATATGTATATACAAAATCGTTTTATATATAAATATATTGGTCTTGTAATAAGTAATCCATTATTTTTATATTAAATTGCAGGCTTTGTTTAAGGTAGGTTAGGGCTATTCGATTTATGTCAAATACGCACCGCTTTGTTCGACATTTTGCCATTTTGATAGTAATGTCACTATGCTTCTCTCATAGAAACCCTTGCCCCGATTACCAAAATTGGGACAATCTATTTATACAGAATTCTCTTGAGGCCTGTTCTAAACCAGGCATGTCATTCGCTATAAACAGAAACAGATGGTAATCACTTGGTGTGAGATCCAGATTACCAGAACCTCCCAAGAGCAGATAGATGATAGTGGATGATTTCTTGTTAATCCCACCAAACAAACAACAAAAACTTCCTGGTCGTTAATCAGAGATCGTTAGTGTCAGCTCACTGTCCTTCGACCACGCCCGTTTTCGTTTGAGGTTGCGGTAAGATAAATTCGGACTACGAGGTTTTTTTTTGTTAACTCCCAGCTCATCCAACCTTTTTCAGATGGTATACTCTTTTTTGTTTTTTTAAACAGTTTTTTGTGCAATGATAAGCTCCTGAGCAACCGGAACAGTGCTCGCATGACGGCCAGACTCGACGATTTTCATTATTTTTTCGACATTTTTCATACTGTGGAGCTTCTTTTAGTGCATGCACGACTATTACAGTATCAGGACCATAATCACTGTTCACATTTTCACCTGCCTGACTTGCATTTGCGCCTTTATTGAACAAAAATTGTGGAATACCGAGTATTGTCATCATCTTTCTATATTGAATATCAGATTTTTAACGCCACCTAGTGTAACCCAATCCCACTTATAGAATGCGAGTTGCAGATCACTAAAACTATTTTTTGCAAAAATAATGGATTACCTTTTACTAAGCCTACTAAATAGAGTTATCCATTTTAATAATTTTTTCATGAAATTCCTTTTTTATTATAAAGTTTAAACCTTGATTTTATTTGAGAAACACTGCGTCATTCAAACGGCCACAAACTTCGATACATTTGAGGTAATTTTCGACCACTTTTTGGCACAAATTAGCCGGTATCTCAGCCATAACTTATCAAATGTTGTTTTTTAAGTGCTCAAGAGTTAACGTCTAAATACGGTCTTCCGCGGAGCACAAAAAAAAGTCTATTGATGTCAAATCGTATAATCTCGGTGGCCGGGAAATTGCTCTTACAATAAAGACATATTCATATTCAGTGGTGTTGTATGGCATGTTGCACCATCTTGTAGAAACTACATTTCGTCCGTTGTTCGTGTTCTTCAATTGTAGACCCAAAAATGTAGGTTACGTAGGTTACCATATGTCCATAACACTCCGAATTGACAGTCTCGACGTTGTCGTTTTTAAAAGAAGTTAGATTCAATCACACCTCCGGACCGAAGACATCAGACAGCAAGTTGTTTCGCGTCTCATGGCCACTTTTCAATTATTTGAAGATTCTCGGAGAACCAAATATTACAATTTTGCTTATTTACGTGTCTCCTTAATGAGAAACTTGACTCCTTCCTGAAGAAATTTTGTTCGAAAAATCACCATTCTCTGTTGTTGTACAAGTACCAAATCGACGTACATATATACAGCGATGTGATAGTCAGCTGGCTTCAGTTGTTTTGTGAGCAGGACTATATATAAATGCAAGTATAAGTTCAAGTGGAAAATACCCCGGAATGTGCCGTAAGAAAGTTCCAGCTGTTGAGAACGTCGAACGGTATGCACATTCGGGTCTTTGGCTACACTTTCACTTACAGTATTAAAGTATCGCTACTGATGAAACGAGCAATACAATATCCATAACCGATCCGATTTCTAAAAATTTAACTCGCTGTGCGGTCGTTAAGCGATTCATTTATCAAATGCATGGCCTCTTACTAAAGAAAACCGTGTTTGGCTTCTAATATAAGTTTGCCTGATATTATCAGGTGTACAACTTTGCTTCCGCCGATTTTTTTCAATATGAAAAGCTTTATTGCGAAAAAGTGCTTACAGATATATTATTCAAAGTATTGTCCTTCGCTAGCGACAACTTTCTCCCATCTTTCCGGCAATTTTCGGATGCCGGCTCGACGCTATCCATGAAGCAATCCATTTTTCAAATTCTTCGAAGGATTGAAAATGTTCATCTGCCAGGCCGTGTGCCATCGAACGGAATAGGTGGAAGTCAGAAGGGGCGACATCTGGGGAAGGGACAAGACATCCCATTTCAGCGTTTCCAGGTACTTTTTGACCACTTTTGCGACGTGAGGCTGAGAATGTCGTGTTGGAGGATGACTTTGTCATGTCGCTCTTGATGTTGTGGCCGCTTTTCTTTAGTGCGCGACTAAGGCGCATCAGTTGCATTCGGTAGCGATCTCCTGTGATGGTTTCACCCGGTAGTAAATCACACCGAGCTGATCCCACCAAATACAAATCATAACTACCATGTTTGTTTTCGACATCGAAATCACCATTTTTAAAACGTTGAAACTACTCCCGACACGTTCTTTCACTCAGAGCAGCATCACCGTAAGTTTTTGAGAGGATTCGATGCGCTTCAGCTGCATTTTTTTTTCGAATTGTAAGAGAAAATAGAAAAACTTCCCGCAAATGGCGAGAAGTATGCACATAAACGGACATTTTCGAGCGTGAATAATACGAAAATAAGAGCAACTGTCACTGAAACGGCGATGACAATTCGTTAGGTACTGTCCACACTCACTTTAAAGGCATTATCATCTATGTACTTCAACCAGCCTCAGCCGGTACAGCCACCTATCGGAAAACGGCGGAAGCAAAGTTGTACACCTGATAAAATATAGCTATGTACTTTTGAAATCACGAAATGGATAACCCTATATATATATAACTGGAATATACATATTTATCAATTTAGAACAATTAGTGCTAATACAGGATTCTGATGTTCCTAAGAATAAACACAAATCGAGCTTTCCGAAAGAAAATTATGAAAAATGTAAGTCTGCACAATACGAAATAACTTTGAAAATACTATACATACCACTTTTTTTTCCGTAACTTTCAATAAAAGCTAAACTCGTAACAGATTCAGAGGAAGACATATCAATGCTTGACATAGATGATGATCTGGATCTCGAAAATGACCCGTCCAATTTATCTGCAATATTGAATTTACCGTTAGCCATTTGGATAAACAAAAAGGATAAAAAATATATACAAAGCAATATATCTATATTAGTATATTGAATATCTAATAGAATCCCAAAAAGGGGATTTATATATCTGGAAATTATATGCAGAAGAAAAATTTATTGCGACCCAACTTTTTTCTTGTGAAAGCCTTTACGAAAATTTAGATAACCAGCAAAAATTGCTTTGAACATTAGAACAATGGAGGGTTCTTTAGCGTCGCCCCTTTTATACGGCACTGATGAGTTTTCAAAACTCAACTCATTAATTGTGAACTTCATATGGCTAAAAAAAATTTTGATAAATACAAGGTTGGTTGCCGAGTAACATGGAAATTAACAAAACAAAATAAGCAACATGAGTTATTGACCGGTAATACCCGACCGGACTAATAGTGTTGCAAAGTAAAAAAGTGAGAGGCAAATCCCACGTGGTTGTGCGTATGAGGAGACCGCAATTGTTGATGATATTCAGAACAATTGTCGGAAAATAAAGCCTCTCCGACGAAACATCTCCAAATAGGCTGAGGTTCATCACATTAGCGCAGAAATATAGTTGTCTGTAGTACTAGACTCTAGCACAAGGAAATTCTCCAGGCTGTCTGCCCGTCTTCATATCGAATAATAACCCACAAGCATATCGATAATATTGTGATAGACGGGCGACATGTAACCTGTGTTCGAGAGTCATCCTTGGGAGTTTTCGAGAAAAATTTATGGTCCTTTGCTCATTGCCAACGGCGAATACCACTGATTATGGACACATCGACAGTTCAACGAATGAAGAGACAGCGGCTAATGGATGAAAGCACTCCAGCTTAGGAGGTATTCATAGTAGTACCTGCTAGGATAAGCAGAGGATGCTAGGTATTTCCAACTAGCGCCAAACAGCGAAGAGAAGGTATGATTGTTGATTCGGCAATAATCACATAAACGTTGCCTACGTCAATAAAGAAAGAGAAGAAGAGCACCAGTGTTGTGAAGTAAACGCAAATTATAAGCCAGCTGTGAGTTTCTTTGCAGATCGGTGGTTTATTCTGATATAATATTTTGTGAACTCTGACAGTAAAATAGAAAAACCAACAGTGCAAAAATTAGGGAAATATTCGGCAACATTTTTTTGGGAACTGATAAGTGAAATCTAATATTATAAATATAGGGAAACGGCAATTTTTATCATTAGTTGAATACCAATTCTTTACGACCATTCATTATAAATATGAATAAAATGAGGAAAATCAAATAAGGTATTATAATGAAGTCATTAAAAGCCTGAAAAGATAGCCAAAAAGTCACGGTTCAGAAATTTCAAATAATTAAATGAACATTTTTTGCGTCATACATTCTTACAGACACTCTTATATAATATTTGAAACATTTCAATGTTATTCTAAATTTCTCGGGAATTTTCTTTCATTCCCCTTTCTCCACTAGTTATGATACTAAAAGTATCTTGTTATTAGGTATAATGAATGAGAAATTGAGAATTTAATGGCAATATTAGATAACAATTTTCTCCAGTGAGGTTGAAGGCAAGCAAAAAAGTAATTATTTAATATATGTATACGATAGCATAACATTAAAGATAAGGCATGGATACAGATTGTATGAACAATTTGAACTCTCTGGGAATGATTGCATACCAATACAAATAACAAAATAACAAATGACATAGCAAGCCAGTTATGAACAGAAAATGGTTAATGTTTTTTTTTTTTTTCATTTTCTGTTCTCTTTATATATGAAAGTAGCCTAAATGCTGGTGATGGAATTTTAAATGTGTTGTAAATATAATATTGTTTATTTTAATCGACAACCTATTATAAGTGAAAAATGTATGTATTTATGTATGTGTACAATTTTACCTATAATTTAAGTGCAATGTACAATACAATAGTATTTATATTCGTTCAAAATTGGGTATGCAAAGGATAAAAACATCGCCTAAATAGGTGCATAGGAAAAAGCGTTGAGTGTCCTTTATATAACAAACGAAGAGCACAAATAATAAAAACCTTTTACTTGCCTATATTTCTGAACCCATCGAAATTCGTTTTTGTAGATGTCATGAAAGTGCGACTCTTAAATCTATAGCCATAGTGTAACTTCATAGCTAAATCGGACTCAAGAATCACAAATTCGGGTCAACTACAATGCGTGAATTGAAATTATGACGGATTCGCACTGATAGGTAGGTATTCCTTATGTCTCAAATTGCCATTATGTGTTGATGCCTGCAACGGTTCGCTGACGCACATATTCATTCAATGATAAAACATTAATCAAGGGATATGTTTTTATCCTAATTTTATTTACTCAATATTGGTAGGAATACAACATTTTTGGTTTTACCATTGACATTGGCCCACCTCACAGAGAGAGGAATAATCCTTTCCGGAGGGAAGTGTAGTCTTCCTGTTAATCTAAGCAATATGCCACCTATGTACCGAATTTCATGCAAATCCAATTATAAATAATAGGTCAGTCAGTAGTCTACTTTCCGGAGGGAAGGGTTATCGGTTCAGATCATTTGTAGAAATCGAAGAATGGCTCAATGATTGCATCGAGAACAGAGAGGACTCATTTTTATAAGATGATATTCGAAAACTACTAGAGGAATGGGAAAGAACTAGTCGCTTCCGACAGACAATAAAATAAACATCTTTTTGAACACAAAAAAAATGGAATTAATTAATTTGTATGCCCAATAACATAATTAGTGTTTTATAACCGCTGAAGCGTTTTCGGCCAAGCTTCTCCTCGCAATTAGATAAATTAATTTTCCATAATTTTGGATATTTGGTCAGAATGTTATTATGCAATGCTAACCACTCGGCTAATGCGTCCTTCAACCACGAGTATGCTACATAAGCATTGAGATATTACAGTCGCATAATTTGACTTCTAAATGCTAATCGTTGTCAGAGAATTTTATCATACGCCTGGCAATTGTAATGTTTAAAGGTACCATAAATATTCAAAGAAACACGTAATGGCCACAGAATTTCAAACTTGGTTAAACAAATAAGAAATAACATAAATATTCAATACATACAAACAAACCAACAAAAATTAATAGTACGGCCAAAAAGACTTTTGTTGATACAAATAGTAGTATTTACTTTGCTCATTGAAAACCACGGTTAATAAGAATCATAATATAGAAACCTATTAATATTTGTTTCAGTTGTAATCATCCAATTAGTTAAAGTTATGGTTATGCTTACATTGGCATTTGTTTGAGAGAACAATTTAGAAAAGTAAACGAAAAGGAGCTTGAACTCGGTTTTACCCAGTTGCAATGGAGTATTTTTCAAATAGGAAATGTGTGAACCAACCACCGTACCTGAGTTATCATGAGCAAGAACGGACGGACAGACAGGCATGGCTCAATCGATTCATCGCGGAACTATAAATTGAAGAAAATAAATATTCGGGCCTGTTCTGAAATTTCCATTGATTTGGATCTCCGACTCGGAATCTAAAAGGTATTCGATAAAATTATAATATTAGATTATTAGATTATAAAATTCATTTTTGCCGTTTAGAGTTTCAGCTTTTGCTATTAGAATTGGAGAAGAAAATGAAATAAAAAATAAAGAGGAGAATTTTGCGTTACCACAGCAATCTATTAAGTCCCTTAAATTCATTAGACTAATAAATGAAAATAACACTGAGGTACCTAGGTGAATAACCTTATCGGAGGTATGTTGACCTGACTTTTGGCTATGTCCAAGATACGTTGCATAACTTAAACTTAAGTTTTTATGTTTCATTAAATAATAGTCCCTAAACATAAACAGATACATGAAATAACTCGTCGGATTTTCGACAATTTTTTTAAAAAATCGAAATTCTGAAACCGAATCCGTTGAGTTGAATAACCATATTCGATTCCGATAAATCAAACTAAATAGGATTACAAAACATGATTAAATTCCTATCAAATTGAATTTCGACTTACAATTAAGACTTATTTAAAAAAATTCCAATATTTTGTAGTTTATTTTTTAAATCATTTAAATTCTTTTCAGCCGCTTCTGCGTTTTTAAGAAAGGAATTAAAAAATTTGAAAAAAGGCAGCAGGAAAAAATTTAGTTTAAAATATTTTTCATATATAATACAAGGAAAAAAAGTACCCTCAACCCAAGAACGTTAGTATTTTTGATGTTTTGTGATGATAATTGCTCCAAACTGTCATGCAGATGTCAATCCATGTTTATTTTACCTCTTTTAGACGATATGTATAATATATATGGGCATATATATTTACAAATGTAAATGTATAAAATGCAGTGTAATAAAAATTTATTTTTGTGCCATAAAATCCGTGATATTTTTAGATTTTATTTTATGTTATTTTTTATTTTTATTTTTATATATGACCAGGACTTCTTTCATTTATGATTTGTGAATGGAAAAAAGGCAATTTAAGATGTCCCACCTTGTGATCTTGATTTTCTTAAGGTATCGGATTGAATTGATACTTGTTGTTGCACAGATTGCTGAGTAGATGCAGGCTGTGCAGCGGCTCCGGCCTCGCTGCTACTCTCTTTAATAGTTGCTTCCAGATTTTCAGCGAGTAATGATGATGGTGTTTGTTCTTGAATTGTCGATTTGGAAACGTTAACATTACCAATTCCATCACCACCGCCTTCATTATTATTTATTGATCCCGCTTCACCGCTAATACCTGAAACAACAACTTTGCTACCATAACTCGACGGGCACGTTGCCGAAGTTCCGGCGACAGATGAAGTTGCTCCGTTTATCTGGGGTAAATATGAAGGTAATAATCAATGGAAATGACAATGGGGTCGCCTTCATTTAAGTAGAATTTTGAATTGATGAATAACGTAAATATTTAAAAAATAATTATTGTAATAATTTTACTTAAAACAATTATAACAAAATAAATAGGCTTAAATGAGAGATAAGAACTTTTTTTTTTTTTAACCGAACTTAAGGA